TCTCTGAGTGTATGGGTGGGTTTCCTCCACCATCAAAACACACACCAGTCCAGTACAAACGTGTCAAGTGAGGACGGTGGTGAGAGGAGCTGAGAACACAGATTGGAGAATCGCTTCTGTCACCGATAAACGACTCAGTAGTATCAGTAGCAGTAGCAGTAGTAGTAGTAGCAGTAGTAGTAGTAGTAGCAGTAGTAGCAGTAGTAGCAGCAGTAGCAGTGGTAGCAATAGCAGTAGTAGCAGCACTGAGACTGCTCTCGTCAAGGTTACAAATGATATCCGGGTGAACACTGACGCAGGCAAAGTCTCAATCTTAATCCTGTTAGATCTGAGTGCTGCCTTTGACACTGTCGACCATGAGATCCTCTTACAGAGACTAGAGGACTGGGTTGGCGTCGCTGGCACCGCCCTAAGTTGGTTTAGGTCTTACCTTGAAGACAGGAAGTACTTTGTGGAGATTGGAAACTGTGTCTCAGATCATATGGCCCTGACCTGTGGAGTCCCACAGGGGTCGATCCTGGGACCTCTTCTGTTCAATCTCTACATGCTGCCGTTAGGTCAGTTAATACGCAGAAACAAAGTGTCCTATCATAACTATGCAGACGACACTCAGATCTATGTCTCACTGACTGCAGGAGAACATGGACCAGTGGACTCACTCCTTCACTGTATCCAACAGATCAGTGAGTGGATGCAAAACAACTTCCTTCAGCTAAACGCAGACAAAACTGAAATGATTGTCTTTGGTCCCCAGAAACAAAGAGAGAGCGTCATCTGTCACCTCCAGTCTCTCTCCCTAAAACCTTCAAACAAGGTCAGAAATCTAGGGGTAATACTGGACTCAGACTTAAATTTTAATAGCCACATCAAATCAGTAACATCAGCAGCTTTTTACCATCTAAAAAACATTGCCAGGATCAAAAACATAGTGTCTAAAGCAGACTTGGAGATTCTTATCCATGCATTTGTCTCCAGTAGGTTAGACTACTGCAATGGCCTGCTCACAGGTCTGTCCAAACAGGCTGACTAGAACCAGGAAGTACGACCACAGTAGTCCATGCCCCGGCGATCCAAGATGGCGCCCTATTCAAATGAATGGTTGTGCTCAGTGGCGCTTTGTGACGGCATGGGGGCTGAAAGATTAGCGGAAGTTGCCTGAAACTCTCAAAGATCTATGGGAAACTCTCAAAGATCTATGGGAAACTCTCAAAGATCTATGGGAAACTCTCAAAGATCTATGGGAAACTCTCAAAGATCTATGGGAAACTCTCAAAGGTCTATGGGAAACTCTCAAAGGTCTATGGGAAACTCTCAAAGGTCTATGGGAAACTCTCAAAGATCTATAGGAAACTCTCAAAGATCTATGGGAAACTCTCAAAGGTCTATGGGAAACTCTCAAAGGTCTATGGGAAACTCTCAAAGGTCTATGGGAAACTCTCAAAGATCTATGGGAAACTCTTCTGTATTTGGGCATCGTCTGGTCCTCCCGGTTCTGTGCAGTGGATGATCTCCCATAATGCATTGCGTCAAACACGCGTGTGTGGGTCTCACACCGGGTCTCACGCACGTGCACAGAGGGGCTCGGCTCTGACCAATCAGAGCAGTTCATCAGAGCGGGAGTTAGAGCGAGAGCCAGACGAACAGAGTTTGTGGCACTAAAGTGTGGATTTAAACAAAACCCAAGGATTTAAGAATAAAAAAAAAAGTTCACAATGACAAGGGACACTAACATCCCCACAAAATCTGACCTTTATGAAAGCTGTAGGTTCTCTGTCAGGTTCTCTGTCAGGTTCTCTGTCAGGTTCTCTGTCAGGTTCTCTGTCAGGTTCTCCGTCAGGTTCTCCGTCAGGTTCTCCGTCAGGTTCTCCGTCAGGTTCTCTGTCAGGTTCTCTGTCAGGTTCTCTGTCAGGTTCTCTGTCAAGTTCTTTGTCAGCTGAGGTTGAGCTGTTTTAATATGCATTGAGTTCTATGGGGAAAATTTCTGGGTAGCCCACGTGAATTTAGTCTGGTTCAGTCTGGTTCAGTCTGCAGTACCGCGAGAATCCCCTGAGCACATGGGTTATTCAGCTACAAGCTAGTAATACCCTATCCAGTTAATATAATAGATCCATGCAGTAGTCCAGTCCTCAGGTCTCTGCACTGGCTTCCTGTGGCTCAGAGAATAGACTTTAATTTTATATATATATATATATATATATATATTTTTTTTTTTTTTTTGATTTTATATGTTTATCTTTCTTTTTAATGTTCTGTGATTATTTATTATTTAATGCTTTATTTTGTTCAGCACTTTGAATTGCCTTGTGTATGAATTGTGCTATATAAATAAACTTGCTTTGCCTTGCCTAGCAGTAGTAGCAGTAGTAGCAGTAGCAGCAGTAGCAGTAGCATTTGCAGCAGTAGCAGTAGTAGCAGTAGAAGCAGTAGCATTTGCAGCAGTAGCAGTAGTAGCAGTAGAAGCAGTAGCATTTGCAGCAGTAGCAGTAGTAGCAGTAGAAGCAGTAGCATTTGCAGCAGTAGCAGTAGTTGCAGTAGCAGTAGCATTTGCAGCAGTAGCAGTAGTAGTAGTAGTAGCAGTAGCATTTGCAGCAGTAGCAGTAGTTGCAGTAGTAGTAGCAGTAGCAGCAGTAGCAGTAGTAGCAGTAGCATTAGCAGCAGTAGCAGTAGTAGTAGTAGCAGTAGCATTAGCAGCAGTAGCAGTAGCAGTAGTAGCAGTAGTAGTAGTAGCAGTAGCAGTAGCAGCAGCAGCAGCAGTAGCAGTAGCAGCAGTAGCATTAGCAGTAATTGCATTAGCAGCAGTAGCAGTAGCAGTAGTAGTAGTAGCAGTAGCAGTAGCATTAGCAGCAGTAGCAGTAGTAGCATTAGCATTAGCAGCATTAGCATTAGCAGCATTAGCATTAGCAGCATTAGCAGCAGTCCCACCTGTTTGTTGGTAAAAGATCTTTCTTCTGGATTCTACACTTTTGTGGGTTCAAACCAGTTCCACCAGTTTGGGAGGCTTTCGTTATTGTAATGTTTTTACCTGTTAAACATGAGATCAAAAAAGTCTATCTGATCTTATTGTTTAAATACTGTTTTTCACGATTTGCAATTCAATTCTTGAAAAATGATGTGATTCTTTTGATCAGTTTGTGTCTCACAGGTGAATTATACTGAACCAGGACCATTACTTCCTGATCAGTTGCAAACAATGTTCTAAAGGTCCTCAGGTCAAACTGACCCGCTACAGTCATCACAAATACACAAATTATTATTATTTTCTGAGCTGAAATTGGATGATTCTTCCCGACTTGACCAGCCCTGGGTCATTCAGACCCTTTCAGACACTAAGGATTCCTCTGTGGGGGGTCATTTGGACCCGAGGGGAGCACATTAATTATATTTCTACAACAGATTTCTTTCATGGTCCACAAAAAAAACTGAACATAAATAACTTACAGCTACATTCAATGAATTTATGTAGCGGTAATTTTGTTGAGAGATCCTCGGAAAAATACTTATAAATTAAGGTCTAAATGACCCGGGGCTGGCCAAGTTAGGAAAAATCATCAACATTTGGCTGAAAAACATTATTTTGGGTATGTTTTAATCACTGTGGTTTGGTCAGTTTGACCCGAGGAGCAGAAGGGAGTTTGCTTTGGACTTTCAGGAGAGAAACTGATGTTTACACTCTGTGCCGATACGATTCTCTCCAAGACTCAGGCTCTTACCTGTGACCTCATTCATGTGACCTCATTCATGTGACCTCATTCATGTGACCTCATTCATGTGACCTCATTCATGTGACCTCCAGTCTGACATGCATTACAAAGGCCTTTATCACTTTAATGTCTGCTTTACCTCCACCTCACGTTAGCAACAGCCGCCGGTGCTACTAACGCAACAAGACTCTCTTGAAGCACTCAACTCGCACAATAATAATAATAATAATAATAATAATAATAATAATAAATTTTATACAGCACTTTACTGATCACTCAGTCTCTTCACATCATTATACAGTCACTATCTCCCATCTCAGTCCTAACCAGGCCCTGCCCTGCTTAGCTTCAGAGGTCTGACAGGACATGCCTTTCACCTGCAGGTAGCACCACGATTATACACATACACGGAGCCAGCCCCGGGGCGAGGGGAGCAAACATATTCCAACAACTTTCCAACAACGACTAGCTTCTGTAGCGAGTCGAATCAGTTCTATTAACCGCCATCTTTGCGTCACATGACCCTCCTCTGGAAGCTCTTTAGGCCGTTAGTCTGGACCCCTCAGACCCATTAAGACGCCCTTCCCCTCACAGACACTTGCTAAATCTAGGGCGAGGGCTATAATCTAGGACAACAGTGTGAACTGGGACTGGCGAGGCTCATTTTAGTTTGTTTATATATTATATATGGGTTATACAGGTTTATATCACTTGGCTTTTGTTCTTATCCTTTTTTGATTAAAGCACGAATATAGACTATTTGGGCTGAGAGCTGAGTGAGGATGGTCCTCTCTCTTTCACGTTTCTGTCTGAAAAAGCTGGTCTAAAGATGTGACAGAGGCCAAACATGCATGTGAAACTAGGGACCAGGACCAGGACCAGACCAGACCAAGGCTGAGACCAGTGAACATTAGTGATGAAACCAAACTGTTTTGAAAGTGAAGTCCCCTGCTGCATTTAAACAGCTTTATCTCATAGTTGGGTTGTTACTTTGATTCATGCAGGTGGTCAATAATGGAAGGACACCACTGGCAAATAGGACAAGATAAAATATTTCGTCCCACAGTGTGGAAATTCCAATGTTGCAGTGCACATACAGGACAGCAGTACGAGCACACAGCATTTACAATATAAGCAGCTGCACTGCTCCTTCACCAGCAACAAAATCAACACTATCCTAGAAGAGCATTTAGAGGCGACTGCTGTGGTTCTGTTGGTGGTTCTGTTGGTGGTTCTGTTGACATGTCATTCATCTGCTCTCTCCTGACCTGCTCCTCCAGCCCTCTGCCTCTGCCTTACCCCGGGCTTGGTGCTCTCTCCTCGGCGTGGCCCCTGCCTCCTGTGCCGCTCGCAGCTCCACCTGCAGCCGCGCCACGTCCTCCTTCAGCCGCTTGATCTCGCTCTCCCGGTAGCACGTCTCCAGCCGCAGCACCATCATCCCGTCCTCCACGATCTTGGAGATCTCCGTGACCGCGGTTCGACACAGAGACTCCACGATCGCCGCGATTCGGGTCTTCAGCGCCCCACTGCTCAGCATCATGGCCCCGCAGCGAACCGAGCCAGCCCCGGGGCGAGGGGAGCAGGACGGGGAGCAGGGGGGGACAGTGGCACGACTCTGCGGGGGTCCGAGTGCGCTCCCCCGGGCTAAAGGAGAGGCATTCCACCGCTGTCGTCTCGGAAACTCCTGCGTCTGTGCTGGTACGTGTCTGGGCTAGGAGCAGCTAACGGAGGCTAACTGAGGCTAACGGAGGCTAACGGAAGCTAACTGATGCTATCCATAGACTGTAAATATAACGGGCAGGCTACGGGCAACAAGCGACAACACCGACCCAGAGACTCACGTTACGGAAATGACGTCGTTACCGTAACTGAGCGACGAACGCGCAGAGAAAACTTTAAAGCCACAGCGCGTCATTTTTGGGCCGTTAAAACTATAAACTCACAGAGCACTGTAGCAACGCACCCTAGCAACGCACCGTAGCAACGCACCGTAGCAACCCAACATAGCAACGCACCTTAGCAACGTCCCACAGAAACGCACCATAGCAACAGACTGTTTACTATCAACAGTTAGCATTCTTTTGTTTCTGTTTTGGCGGTGTTTCAGTTTTATTCACCAGTTTTAGAACTTTTTAGTCGTGACTAAAGTAAAAACCTCATAAATTACTTTTAAAAACCACTGAGTCACTTTTTTCTCAAGTACAGAAGTAAACTACATCATTCTTGCACTAGAATATGCACTATTTTATACTTGCTTCTTTGTTTTGTCAGAGTTAGAGATCTCCTCCCAGAGCCGTCTTTTTGACTGCCCTCATTTAACCTGATGGAATTCTGAAAAATAGCTTCCATCTGGTTTAGAACTTTTAAGAGTAAGTAATTTATAATGGTCCTTTTATTAAGTGCTAAAACTTTAAGATGACGTGAAAAACAGAAAAAAGCGTTTGTTGAAATGCTAAATGCTAACCGCTAACAACATCCAAACAATTCAACACAAATTCAAATCTTGATTAAAGCGTTTCTGCAGAGGGAGTGTATGCTTTTATTTACATTTATGAAAATATATATACACATAAATTTGCATTTCCTGCATTATGAAATAGTAAAATACTAATTACAAAAATGTGGAGAATGAGTTAACATCATCATAAATCATTAAAGAAAAACACTGGATTCTTATTAAAACATTATCAAACAGCTCCAACTTTACAAATTATCGCTAAAATCAATACGATTTTAGAAGTTATAAATCTTTCTCTTCTTCCAGGACATGCACTGTTCACTCCAAACACAAGAGAAAACATGGTAGCACGGTCACATTAAAAACACAGCTCCTGATGAAGACAAACACAAACACGTCTCTGTAGGAATGAAGTTATTTTCCCACAAAACCAGATCCATCAAACCTCGTGTTGGTTCTACATTTTAGATCCCAGAATGCACTTGTTCTTTGAGTAACTGTCAGACCGTTATTAAAATAGAGTCATGTGTCACTGTTGGGGCCGAAAGTATTATTTGACATGAGTTTGTAAATTATTTTCTTGTCATTGGCCTTTGAGCCTGAAGGTCGTAGGTTCGAGCCCACCATGAGACCTACTTCTCGACTCCCACTGATGACTGCTGTCGTTGTGTCCTTGGGCAAGACACTTAACCCCACTTTGCCTGAAGCCCCCACTGACAGATCTCAGCTCCTGTGGACTCAGCAGCTGCAGGAGGATCAGTGAGGGGCTGGTGCTCTGTGACTGCCACCCCCGACCCAGAAATGGATTAAGGGGAAGAAGATGGATGGATAGGTTTTTGATTCAACAATGCTTATTGTTTTTATCAACTTTTTAATTGTTTTCTTTTGTGCATAATGTTTTACTTCTGTTTTTTAGAATGTAGAATTATATTTAAAATGAAGTATAACATGCCATCAATGCTTCAAGTTACTTTAATAATGATAATTGAACCACATTTCTAACCTGGCAAGAGCCAGATGATTGTGTAGAACTCTAATGCGTTCTCCACAATATCAGTCTGGGATTTCTCCCGGAGAATCCTTTCGGGGAAAGGAGGGATAAGCAGCAGAATACTTCAAGCTGATTGGGCGAAGTGACGCTGTGTGCCCGCCTACCAAGGTTTGACTTAAACCAATCCCGGTAACATCTTTGCCGTCCAGAAATGCACAAAGCGCCTCTCGCTGTTCATCTTTCAAAAAAGAAATTGGAGATTCTGCTAAAACTGACTTGATAGCCTCAGCTACGCGTCCGTCCGATATCCCGCCCTAAACCCCCAGACTGGCGCGTGATTGGCTTGAACACCTAGATGTTTTACTCGAAAAGGGTCGGCGGGAGCGGGACAAGATGTATTCTCGAGTTTTTGTGAACTCACAAATTACCGCGAGAATTCAGCTCCCAGGCAAAGTTACCACATTTCAGGGGCCTCTAAAACTGGTCTTGTGGACCGGATTTGGCTCTAGCGCCTGAGTTAGATTTCCCTGTGCTAATCTATAGTGTTAGCCTTAATGCTAGCCCATGGTGTTAGCATTAAGGCTAACATTATGGGTTAGCCTTAATGCTAGAGGTCGATTAGAACAGAGTGAATGAGCTCGAATGTGGGGCCAAATTTATGAACACTTAGTTGGTAGCAACAACCGAGTTCCCAAGCACCAATCAGGAGTTCTGCCAGTCTGTCCCCTTCCACGCTACTGGCTAGCTAAAGCTGAATTTGGCGAGAGAAGACTCCTGATTGGTCAGGCTCAAATCTGGATTTACAAAGACAATATCAGTATGTAACCTCCAGGAACGAAGACAGCAATAAACAAAGCATTCTTTAATATAGAGCGAGTAGGAGCAAAACTTCATCCAGGAGCACTTCCCTATTGGGCTTCAATGAGCTAGCGGGTTAGCATTGTCCATCTATATACAGCCTGCGGTGAAAACAAGTGATGGAACCAATTTGTTTTCTCCAAATTACAGTTACTTGTGGTGTAAAAGTCAGGCACCCCAGTTTTTTACGTGTAAAAACACATTTGATTGTGCTTCAAATCCCTGATATTAGCGTGGCGGCGGCAAAACACACTTCCAGGTGGAGGTAACGATGCTGTAACGCTGTTAAAAACCCAACTTTCCTCTCGAAGCTCCATCATTCGTCCGACTGCGGGTTTGAAAAGTCCGAGGTCTTCCTTCTGCTGATGCATAACTTCTTGTGTCTCAAACAGTTGTCTTGTCTGGAGAAAGTCTTGTAGCAGATGTTGCAGCTGAAGGGTTTGGCGCCGGTGTGGACGCTCTGGTGAGTCCTGAGTCGCTTCTTTGCCGTGAAAGTCTTGCCGCACTGGTCGCATCGCAAATCGCCGGCGCTAGCGCTCGAGTCCTGAGAGAACGGAGGCTTTCGAGAGTGGAACCGGGTCTGGTAGTCGTCCAGGAGAGAGTCCAGGGGGAGGTCCTCGCCGTCGCCGGGACCGAAGCCCACGGCCGCCTGCTCCAGGTAGTACGCGTGGTAGTTCTGCGCGGCTTCGTGGGCGGAGTCGCTGTTGTCGTTGAATGCGTTAGCGGTAGTGTTAGCATTAGCACTAGCAGCGTCAGAAGACAAGGGAGACTGAGGCCACTCCACTTCGTCTGAAATGCTCTCCTCTTCTGGCTCCGGCTTCACCACCCGCTCCTCGGGATCCTCCTCTGAAACAACAGCAATTTTTTCAGGTTTTAAAAGACAATTATTTGGGATTATTATCTTTTTTTTTTGTTCCTTGCCGATGCAGGAGGGTCTAAGGACAGGATGATCCAGGACATTCATCAACATTTAACAATGAACATTTATGGACTCGTCTCAGCTCCTTATGGACCAGTGGCTCTATGAGTTTGGACTGTTTGATTTTCTGATCTGTGTTGGAAAATTGGCAACTTTGGGGCTAAATACATTGAAATTGAATTGAAATATATGAAACTACAGACATACACAGCCCTGACTAATTGTTGTATGTTGTTTGTCTGTTTTGTATGGAACCAGTCTGACGCAAGGGTGAAGGACAGTGATGGTCCAGGACATGTAAGGACAGTGCTCCTCCGGCTCCCGGGGACCAATGGCTCCTGAGTTAGTATTTCATTTCCTGGTTGATTCTCTGATCTGCTCTTGAGGAATCGACAACGTTGTAGACTGCAATTGTGATTTCGGACGGGACGGGACGGGACGGGACGGACGGACGGACGGACGGACGGACGGACGGACGGACGGACGGACGGACGGACGGACGGACGGACGGACGGACGGACGGACGGACGGACGGACGGACGGACGGACGGACGGACGGACGGACGGACGGACGGACGGACGACGGACGGACGGACGGACGGACGGACGGACGGACGGACGGACGGACGGACGGACGGACGGACGGACGGACGGAGACGGACAGACAGACAGACAGACAGACAGACAGACAGACAGACAGACAGACAGACACACACACACACACACACACACACACACACACACACACACGTGTCTCACCCTTGGTCCACACTTGGCTGGAGCTCTGTCCCTCCTCCTCCGCGGGCATCTCCTCCGCCGCCTCCTCCTCCTCTTCCCGGCCTCTGAGCTCCTCCATAGCGGCTCGCAGCTTCAGTATCTCCCGGTCCCTGAGCTCGATGTCCCGCTGTTTCTCCAGGATCTCCCGGTCTCGGCTCTGCAGCTCCAGCCTCAGCTCCAGGGCTTCATCCTCCACCAGCGCCGTGACCTGGGCCACCACCGCCTCCATGATGGCCGAGAGGTGAGCGCTGAACGCGGCCGTGAAGGGCATGCTGCTCCGGGGGAAGAGATGCTCGGGTCTCCGCGGTCTGGGTTTAGAGAAATGACACTGATGCTTTGTTTACTTCTGCGAACAAGTCTTCTTTCGGTCCGAACACTTCCACCCGGAAATGGCGTCGGTTCACGATGCTGCCCCCTGTCGGACACGGAAGGTTACACGGTCTAAATGTGATTATTTTGTGTGTGTATTTTTGCTATTAAAATGTTTTTGTTTTGGTCTCACGGTGGGGAAATGTCAGTGTTGCATCAGCAGTACAAGATAAATGAACATTAACTTTATACTAAAATAACATAAAATCTCACTTTTAGCAAAACAAAGAAGAGAATATACCAAATTATACCAAAATACCTATGTTTTTATTTCTTTTTTATTATAGTAAGAACAAAACAGTTGAAATGTATTTTCTGCTTCAGTGGGTTGAAAAAAGCTCTGCACTAAAATAATAAAATGATAATAATCGTACAGTTCATATTTACTGCTCTGGTTCACTTTGACCCTGGCCCGAGGTCCAAAACCAGGTCCAAAACCAGGTCCAAAACCAGGCCTCAAAGGGAAGAATGTGGACCATGGAGGGATAAAGAACACAGGTGCTCCACAGGGCTGTGTTCTTTCTCCTATGCTCTTCTCCCTGTGGACCAGTCACTGCACCTCCTCCCACTGCACCTCCTCCCACTCTACCTCCTCCCCCTGCACCTCCTCCCACTGCACCTCCATCCACTCTACCTCCTCCCACTGTACCTCCTCCCACTGCACCTCCTCCCACTCCACCTCCTCCCACTCCACCTCCATCCACTCCACCTCCTCCCACTGTACCTCCTCCCACTGCACCTCCTCCCACTCCACCTCCATCCACTCCACCTCCTCCCCCTGCACCTCCTCCCACTGCACCTCCATCCACTGCACCTCCATCCACTCCACCTCCTCCCACTGCACCTCCTCCCACTGCACCTCCTCCCACTGCACCTCCATCCACTCCACCTCCTCCCACTGTACCTCCTCCCACTGCACCTCCTCCCACTCCACCTCCATCCACTCCACCTCCTCCCACTGTACCTCCTCCCACTGCACCTCCATCCACTGCACCTCCTCCCACTCCACCTCCATCCACTCCACCTCCATCCACTCCACCTCCTCCCACTGCACCTCCATCCACTGCACCTCCTCCCACCTCACCTCCATCCACTCCACCTCCTCCCACTGCACCTCCTCCCACTGCACCTCCTCCCACTGCACCTCCATCCACTCCACCTCCTCCCACTGCACCTCCTCCCACTGCACCTCCTCCCACTGCACCTCCATCGACTCCACCTCCTCCCACTCCACCTCCTCCCACTCCACCTCCATCCACTCCACCTCCTCCCACTGTACCTCCTCCCACTGCACCTCCTCCCACTCCACCTCCATCCACTCCACCTCCTCCCCCTGCACCTCCTCCCACTGCACCTCCATCCACTGCACCTCCATCCACTCCACCTCCTCCCACTGCACCTCCTCCCACTGCACCTCCTCCCACTGCACCTCCATCCACTCCACCTCCTCCCACTGTACCTCCTCCCACTGCACCTCTCCTCCCACTCCACCTCCATCCACTCCACCTCCTCCCACTGTACCTCCTCCCACTGCACCTCCATCCACTGCACCTCCTCCCACTGCACCTCCTCCCACTCCACCTCCATCCACTCCACCTCCATCCACTCCACCTCCTCCCACTGCACCTCCATCCACTGCACCTCCTCCCACCTCACCTCCATCCACTCCACCTCCTCCCACTGCACCTCCTCCCACTGCACCTCCTCCCACTGCACCTCCATCCACTCCACCTCCTCCCACTGCACCTCCTCCCACTGCACCTCCTCCCACTGCACCTCCATCGACTCCACCTCCTCCCACTCCACCTCCTCCCACTCCACCTCCATCCACTCCACCTCCTCCCACTGTACCTCCTCCCACTGCACCTCCTCCCACTCCACCTCCATCCACTCCACCTCCTCCCCCTGCACCTCCTCCCACTGCACCTCCATCCACTCTACCTCCTCCCACTGTACCTCCTCCCACTGCACCTCCTCCCACTCCACCTCCTCCCACTCCACCTCCATCCACTCCACCTCCTCCCACTGTACCTCCTCCCACTGCACCTCCTCCCACTCCACCTCCATCCACTCCACCTCCTCCCACTGTACCTCCTCCCACTGCACCTCCATCCACTGCACCTCCTCCCACTGCACCTCCTCCCACTCCACCTCCATCCACTCCACCTCCATCCACTCCACCTCCTCCCACTGCACCTCCTCCCACTGCACCTCCATCCACTCTACCTCCTCCCACTGTACCTCCTCCCACTGCACCTCCTCCCACTCCACCTCCTCCCACTCCACCTCCATCCACTCCACCTCCTCCCACTGCACCTCCTCCCACTCCACCTCCATCCACTCCACCTCCTCCCACTGCACCTCCATCCACTGCACCTCCTCCCACTGCACCTCCTCCCACTCCACCTCCATCCACTCCACCTCCATCCACTCCACCTCCTCCCACTGCACCTCCATCCACTGCACCTCCTCCCACCTCACCTCCATCCACTCCACCTCCTCCCACTGCACCTCCTCCCACTGCACCTCCTCCCACTGCACCTCCATCCACTCCACCTCCTCCCACTGCACCTCCTCCCACTGCACCTCCTCCCACTCCACCTCCTCCCACTCCACCTCCTCCCACTGCACCTCCTCCCACTCCACCTCCTCCACTCCACCTCCTCCCACTGCACCTCCTCCCACTGCACCTCCTCCCACTGCACCTCCTCCAACTCCACCTCCATCCACTCCACCTCCATCCACTCCACCTCCTCCCACTGTACCTCCTCCCACTGCACCTCCTCCCACTCCACCTCCTCCCACTCCACCTCCATCCACTCCACCTCCTCCCACTGTACCTCCTCCCACTGCACCTCCTCCCACTCCACCTCCATCCACTCCACCTCCTCCCACTGCACCTCCTCCCACTGCACCTCCATCCACTGCACCTCCTCCCACTGCACCTCCTCCCACTCCACCTCCTCCCACTGCACCTCCATCCACTGCACCTCCATCCACTGCACCTCCTCCCACTGCACCTCCATCCACTCCACCTCCTCCCACTCCACCTCCATCCACTCCACCTCCTCCCACTCCACCTCCATCCACTCCACCTCCTCCCACTGCACCTCCATCCACTGCACCTCCATCCACTGCACCTCCTCCCACTGCACCTCCATCGACTCCACCTCCTCCCACTGTACCTCCTCCCACTGCACCTCCATCCACTCCACCTCCATCCACTCCACCTCCTCCCACTGCACCTCCATCGACTCCACCTCCTCCCACTGTACCTCCTCCCACTCCACCTCCATCCACTCCACCTCCTCCCACTGTACCTCCTCCCACTGCACCTCCATCCACTGCACCTCCAGCCATGACTCTGTCCTGGTGTCTGCTAAAAGAGGAGGTGCAGTAACAACCCCCCTCTCCTCCTCCTCTTCACCCCTCCCCTCCCTGACGGACTCCCCTCCGTGCCTCCTCGCCACGTGCCCAGAAACAGGAATGGTCAAATAAAAAGAGTAAATACATGAACCCAAACATAAACAGTGCTAATATTATTATAATATAAAATGGGCCACAGCCTCTTTTTTTACTAAGACACCTTTAATTTACACATTTTGTTACGACTTTTTCACTTTTAAAACATTGATTTGCACATTTCCTGTCCACTCATGTAACTCAGATGTCACATGTAAACTCTGTCATTGTGATATCAATAAAGTTTGTCTAATCTTGAAGGTATAAAATCTGAAGTTAAAGTGACCCAGAGCCTGAGCCGGCGCCTCACTCGCTGCACTGTCGGATCAGTCTCTGGTTCTGGTGCTGGTTCTGGTTCTGGTTCTGGTTCTGGAGACTCCGCAGCAGACTGTCCTTACAACAGGCTTTCTTCTCGTGCCGGACGCAGCTGTCGCGCCGGGAGAACCGCGTCCCGCACTTGCTGCAGCTGAACGGCTTGGCCCCGGTGTGGACGCTCTGGTGACTGATCAGCCGCCATTTCACCGTGAACGTCTTCCCGCACTGGTCGCACCGGAACCCGCCGTAGCTAGCGCTCAACGACCTTCTCGCGGCGCTGAAGTTGTAGGCTCCGTCTTGTACGTGCGATAGATTTGGCAGGAGAGAAAAGCCGGCGTGGTGTTGGTAGTAAAACTGATGATTTATGTTCAGAAGAGAGTCTAAAGTCAAATCTGCTGGTTCTAGATGCTCCGAAAGGTGACTTCTGTGGGTTGAGTCGCTGCTGCTCTCGTCGTTGTACTCTGTCGTAGCAGTAGCAGTAGCATTAGCATTAGCATTAGCATTAGCATGAGCAGTAGCAGTAGTATGGGCAGTGGTAGAAGACGGTAATGGAGACGGAGGCCATACGGACTGGTCTGTCGTCTCTTCTATCGGTTCGCACTTCACCACGGGCTCTGGATCTTCTGCAAAGAAACATCAAAACAAATTATAAGTGACTCTAAAATATAACACCGACATGTTAGCAACTGCCTAGCAACCGCCTAGAAACCACCTTTGCAAAAAGACTGGCTTGAAGGCGGGTTAAATGCTGAGTTGTTTTGACAGACCTGTTTGTTTAAGTATGAAATGTAAGTTTTTAAAAGATAAAGGTACTTCCTAGTCCTGACTAAAACCAGGAAGTACCATCGCATTAGTCCTGGTCTCAGGTCTCTGCTTCCTGTGGCTCAGAGATTAGACTTTAAAGCAGCTCCGAATGTCAAAGTCTCTCCATCTGTGACATGTTAGTCCCATATGAACCAACTCTGAGGAGCACAGGGACTGGCCTCCTGCTGGGACTCTGAGGAGCACAGGGACTGGCCTCCTGCTGGGACTCTGAGGAGCACAGGGACTGGCCTCCTGCTGGGACTCTGAGGAGCACAGGGACTGGACTCCTGCTGGGACTCTGAGGAGCACAGGGACTGGCCTCCTGCTGGGACTCTGAGGAGCACAGGGACTGGCCTCCTGCTGGGACTCTGAGGAGCACAGGGACTGGCCTCCTGCTGGGACTCTGAGGAGCACAGGGACTGGCCTCCTGCTGGGACTCTGAGGAGCACAGGGACTGGCCTCCTGCTGGGACTCTGAGGAGCACAGGGACTGGACTCCTGCTGGGACTCTGAGGAGCACAGGGACTGGCCTCCTGCTGGGACTCTGAGGAGCACAGGGACTGGCCTCCTGCTGGGACTCTGAGGAGCACAGGGACTGGCCTCCTGCTGGGACTCTGAGGAGCACAGGGACTGGACTCCTGCTGGGACTCTGAGGAGCACAGGGACTGGCCTCCTGCTGGTCCCAGAGTCAGGACTAAACATGGCGAGGCAGCAGTTCAGATTTATGCAGCTAAAATCTGGAACAGTCTTCCTGAAAATGACAATGTTCAAATCCAGGATAAAAACAGTTCAGTTTATCTGTGCTAAAACTGAAGGATTTTATTTTTACACTTTCAATGCACTGTCTGTGATTAATTATGATTTTAATACCTTGTTTTTTCTATCTTGTTTTGTTCAGCCCTTTGAGTTGCCTTGTGTATGACCTGTGCTATACAAATAAGCTTGCCAAACTTATTATTTACTGTCTATGGTCTTGTACCAGCTAACACTCTCATCCCTCTCATCAGAAGCTCTCACCACAGTCTCTTTGCTGCAGAATAAGAATGAAAACACAGAGTCTGGACAGTACCATGTGCCACTATACCATGTGCCACTATACCATGTGCCACTATACCATGTGCCACTATACCATGTGCCACTATACCATGTGCCACTATACCATGTGTCTCACCTTTAGTCCACACCTGACCACAGCTCTGACCCTCCTCTGCAGTCTCCTCCGCGGGCATCACCGCCTCCTCCCCCCGGGCTCGGAGCTCCTCCACGGCGGCTCGCAGCTGCAGGATCTCCCGGTCCCTGAGCTCCAGGTCCCGCTGTCTCTCCAGGATCTCTCGGTCTCTGTCCCGGAGCTCCAGCCTCAGCTCCAGGGCTCCATCCTCCACCAGCGCCGTGACCTGGGCCACCACCGCCTGCAGCAGAGCCTCCATGACGGCCGTGAGCTGCGAGCTGAACGTACCCGGGAACGACATGCCTCTCTGCGGGGACAGGCTTCTCTGAGCACCGCTGAAGGAGCTGGAGCTTTGTTTACTTCCAGGTTTACTTCTACTCCGGGCACAGACGCAGGAGGACCGGGGATGGTGCTGCCCTCTATGGGACCAGTGCTGGACTCTCAAAACACAGCATGGATCTATAATTATAGAATATATAATTATTATAATAATAACATAGTCAAATATATTTTATTTTACTCTGTTTTCCCCAAACTGCTGAACTCTTCAATCAGAGCAACTGTGGCTGGTTTTAATCTGTCTCACTACAAACTAAACTGTACAATAAGTCTCACTTCAAGCAGCAATAAAATAAATGTATGAACCAAAAATGCTCCTAATAATTCTTTAATAATGTGTAGATTATAAATATACAAAGGATAATCCAAACTATTTCAAGAAAAATTACGCCTTTAAAAATGTTATTGAACTTTGGGGACACAGTTGTCATTAAATTGGAGGCTTTGTGAAAGAATTAACAGGACAGTAATAAAACTAGAAATCAATAACTGCAGACACACTGGGGTTTGGACGTAACACTTCGTCCACTTGTTACGTCCAAACGTCTGGAGTTTACAGTACGGTGTGAATGAGTCTGTGTGTAAGTAGAGCGCCCTCCACTGGACAAACAAGGAACTAAACCAGAGTCTGTGAACATTCAGTAACGACCGCGGACTTTTGGGGACTTTTTCCGAGTGATTGACCCAAATGTAACTCATCGGTACAGTTTAGTGTGGAGCAAACCATCAACAATATCGAGAGATTTTAATTATTTGTTATTCCATATTTACTTTTGTATTAGTTTTATAGGTCTCATTGGTCACACTTTTACAGATCCATGTTGAAGTCAGACAACCTGTGCCACGACGGTCACAAAGATTACAGCAATAATAATAATAATAATGAATCTAACTGTTTATGACATTTGAGGGATAAGAAATGGTTTGTTTCCATCATAAATCTCCCTCATCAAAGGCTTATTTTACACTAAAGTTATTAAAAGTATCTCTCCAGGGCCCTTTGTAATCTTAGTGACGAGAAAAACAATTGTTCAGTATCGCGATATTTTGTAGATGCAATGAAATCGACACAGTAGAGCAAAGTATCGCGATATTTAATTAAATGATTATCTGTTTCACTCTGGTCTCTTCCCTCAGTGATTGCTTCATGTTCATACCATAATGTCTTATTTTCCTCATGTTTGTAAAGTCTGTGAATATATCACAGAATCACGATACTGCAGGGGTCTCCATCCTGTGGCACGGGATCTACCAGTAGCTCACCAGCCCCTTTCAGGTAGCTCCCCGAATGATTTAGAATCTAACACATAATCTTGAATGAATACATTTTGAGTCATAACATCTTTTATAAATACAGGGTTTTACAGTTTATTTCTATGTTTAGTCGTAATTTTTTTATTTTTTTTATACGACTCCAAGAAGTAGTAGCTCTCTGCCTTTTTTGCTGCATATAAGTAGCTCTCTGATTGAAAAAGTTGGAGACTCCTGAAATACTGTGTGACCCAATATGTTAAAAACCGCGATAGTTTTGTGATATTTTGACCATGATTCAATATTATCGAATCCTCACGGTTTTGCAGATTCCCGCCTCTGAGGAGTTTCCTGTGGATCCAAACTCAAAGAAACATGTTTTATAATTCTGTATTGTAAACTTTTCATGTAAAAACAGATGAAACATTTCCTACGCAGTAACAACAGTAACAAGTTTAAAAACATAAAACAACTCAATATTTACATTTTTATATTTTCACAACAAGCTGCTGTTTCAGACTCAAACACGTTTCTCTGCGGCGGCATTTGACTCAAAACTGTCATAGTTTCAGATTAAAGCTGGGGTACCTGATTTTCAAAGTACAACGTTGAACTATGGCCTTGTTTCTTCCTGGGTTGACTCTACTCTGATTTTAGAGGGAGACCAGAAAGAGAGAGTAGAGACCAGAGAGAGTAGAGAGCAGAGAGAGAGAGTAGAGAGCAGAGAGGGAGAGAGACCAGAGAGAGAGAGAGCAGAGAGGGAGAGACCAGAGAGAGAGAGAGAGCAGAGAGGGAGAGACCAGAGAGAGAGAGTAGAGAGCAGAGAGAGAGAGTAGAGAGCAGAGAGGGAGAGAGACCAGAGAGAGAGAGAGAGCAGAGAGAGAGTAGAGACCAGAGAGAGAGAGAGAGCAGAGAGGGAGAGACCAGAGAGAGAGAGAGAGCAGAGAGAGAGTAGAGACCAGAGAGAGAGCAGAGAGGGAGAGACCAGAGAGAGAGTAGAGACCAGAGAGAGAGTAGAGACCAGAGAGAGAGAGAGAGCAGAGAGAGAGTAGAGACCAGAGAGAGAGAGAGAGAGAGCAGAGAGGGAGAGTCCAGAGAGAGAGAGAGCAGAGAAAGTCAAGAGATACCAGCAAGGAAGAGCAGAGAGACCAGAGAGAAAGACAAGAGAGAACAGAGAGAGAGAGACCAGAGGGAGATGCTCCGCTCTGAAAGAGGACTGTGATCTCTCAGTTCTGGAGGTTCTTTATGAATCCAGACTTTCTTCTGGAGCCTGGAAAAGCCATGTTCCAGCTTCTTCCCTCTGGCAGAAGATTCTAATGGCTGCAGGACATCTGGCTTTGCTAACGGCTTCTTTCAGCTGTTCTCAGTTTAAACACAGCACTTTCTGATCTTACCTCTTTACTGTCAATGTAAAAAATTGTGTTATGTCTGTACTTGTCTGGGTCGCACTGGGGACCTTTGCAAATCTACTCCAATGGGGTTTTACTGCAAATGGTCATCTGAATCTGAAACTCTGGGTACCGCATCTTCACACTCTATACCTTTAGACTTCCTACGTCTGAAATGTATATTAGTAACGATTTAGGGAAAAGCAAGAAGTTATCTTTCCTTAAATATAAACGTTTCAGCGTGAAATAAAACCGAAAACACAAAGAACAAAACAATAATAAACAAAACACTATAGGAAATAAAATGACAATAAAAGAGGTTTTTGACTTTGAATACTTTGATTCCTCCGATAAATAATTTCATCCATCCATTTTCTTCTTAAAATCCATTTCTGGGTCGGCGGGGAGACAGTCAGAGCTGCACCCAGTACACATAGCACCAGTTCCTAAATAAGTCCCTAAATAATTTCAGCTTTGGTTAAAACCCAAATGGACGGAACCAAAGCTAGTCAAGCGTCTGGAGCAGTCTTCTTGAAAATGTGAGACAGACTTCTGCTCTGACAATGTTCAGATCCAGGTTAAAAACAGTTCAGTTTCGCTGCAACAACTGAAGGACTTTATCTTTTTAACGTACCGTGATTATTTATGATCAGTGGATCAATCAGAACCAGCCGGGCCAAACCGGGGATTCATCCGAAAAATGTCTCTCACTTTGAAGAGCAACTGACCCTTACTTTAATAAATCTGATACATTTCCTAAATTTAAAATAATAAAGTAATCCCTGTGTGACAGAGAGATAGACTGTAAATACTAGAGCTGCAACTAACGATTATTTTGTAATCGATTAATCTATCGATTATTTTTACAATTAATCGAGTAATCGCTTGGCTGTGAATTGTGATGAAAAAAATTATTTTTTCATCACAAAAAGCGAAAGTGGCAACACTCGAGGACGTATTGATGGCGTAAACTTAAAGTAAATGTTTGTAACAGGCTCTTTGTGCTAATTCTGCTCTGATTGGATGAGACAGACAGATGTTCATGAAATTATAAAAACAAAGTCGGTTTTAATGAAAAATACTACATTTTCATGTCATTTTTTCTCTGAGTCCGTGTGAACCAGAAAACGATTAATTGATTACTAAAATTGTCGACTATTTCAATAATCGATTAGTCGTCGATTAATCGATTAGTTGTTTCAGCCCTAGTAAATACTAACGGACCTGACGCCTCTCTCTGCTGTTGAAACTCATCAGTTTCTCTCCAGCTGAATTATTCAAAATGGCCGCAGGCAGCCCCTCCCTCAGAAAAATGTGAAAAAATGCATTAGCGCATGTGTTAGCTGCACTAGCCTCATTCATTTAACAACTGCATTCAGAAGTCCACGGCGGCTAAACTAGACTGGTACTAAAAAATATACTCCCCTCAACATTGATAGAATCTAGAACATAGCTTTGGACCAAGAGCCACTTTTAGACCAAGAGCCACTTTTGGACCAAGACCCACTTTTGGACCAAGACCCACTTTTGGACCAAGAACCACTTTTGGACCAAGAGCCACTTTTGGACCAAGAGCCACTTTTAGACCAAGAGCCACTTTTGGACCAAGACCCACTTTTGGACCAAGACCCACTTTTGGACCAAGAACCACTTTTGGACCAAGAACCACTTTTGGACCAAGACCCACTTTTGGACCAAGACCCACTTTTGGACCAAGACCCACTTTTGGACCAAGACCCACTTTTGGACCAATCCATTTTCGAGAGGAAAAAAGTTGTCGTAAAAATACATTGGATAATTCTGTTTCCGAGTACACCCCCACCACTGGCAAGGAGTGAGATTACAGGCAATGTCACGTGCTCATGGACCCTTTTGAGCAGGGACCCCCACCCTGGTTTGATCTGTTTGATTCTCAGAGTTATTTAAGGCTGTATACATAAACAAAGTGGAGTGGAGTCTGGGCCTGGCTGCTGTACAGAGTCACACAGAGCTAACCGCTAAGAAGCTAAGGCCCAAAGTACTGAGTTTTATCCAAGAACAGGGAGGTGACTTTGCAGCACGAGTCCAGTTTGAGGTGCCGCACCAGGCTGTCGCTGCGTGTGAACCTCTGGCCGCACTTGGGACACCCGTAGGGCCGGGCTCCCGTGTGGACCGTCTGGTGGGTGATGAGGCGTTTCTTCCCGGTGAACGTCTTCCCGCACTGGTCGCATCTGTAGCCGCTGGAGCTGGACGTGGACGGGAACAACTCTTTGGTGCCGCGTCCCGGGTTGGCGAAGTCCTGCGTCTCTGGAGAACTGAAAGTGTGTGTGGGCTCCGTGCTGCTGGTGTCGTTCGAACAGAAAGCCTCGGCAGCAGTATTTGTACTCGTGGAAGCGGTGACGTCAGCAGAAGCAGACAGGTGCGCTGGGAGAATAGACGGAGAAATGAGGAAATCGTTGGGCTCCCACTTCATCACACACTCCGAGTCGGTATCGTCTTCTTCTTCTTCTTCTTCTGAAAAAAAACAATAAAAACACAGATTTGGTTTATTTGCCGTTTGCAGTAAAACCACATTGGAATACATGTGCAAGAGTCCCCAGTGTGCAGAAGACAAACACAAGAAGCTAAAACTTCCATTTCTGTAAAACCAATCAACAAACACGGACTGAGAACAGCTGAAAGAAGCTGTTAGCATTTAGCATGTTCTCAATCAATCAAACTTTATTTATAAAGCGCTTTACATACAAAGGTGGCAACACAAAATGCTTTACAGTTTGGTTAAAAACAATCACGCCCATGACCCCCCTCCTGACCACCCAACAGACCTGCACACACACACAAGCACCGCCCAAGGAGCAGAGAGCCATAGCCGACCACCGCTCCCAGAGCAGAGGGCCCCACCAGAGCAAACACTGGGGATACTTAGAACATTTTACAATGCAAATAAACATGCATGTTTATTTGCATTGTAAAATGTTCTGATTCTCAACCAAAGATATCTTCTGGAAGCTGGAACATGGCTTTTCTAGGGACCAGAAGAGTCATTGATTATTCTAAGAGCTGGATTTAAGAGTCTGGATTCATAAAGAACCTCCAGAACTGACAGATCACGGCCCTCTTTCAGAGCAAAGCACCCCTCTCTTGGCTCCGTCTCTCTCTCTCTCCCTGGTCTCTCTCTCCCTGGTCTCTCTCTCTCTGGTCTCTCTCCGTCTGGTCTCTCTCTGTCTGGTCCAGTGGTTTCGCTAGAGATCATTTCAGCCCGTCATAATGAAGGACAGGGTCCAAAAAAATCCGTCATGAGCTATTTTTATCCGTCATTTTATTTTCACGTTTGAAATACCCTATAGGCTATTAATTAAACAATTGTATAAACAAAAACAGGGTTTATAACGTGCTTTATTAGCTGTTCGTTTACAAATGTACAATACATTTAATTTGTGAATATATAAAGTTGCATAAAAATCGCAAAACAATCGACAACTCTGCGTAACATTTAACCTGCATTAACATGTGGAACAAACACGTACAGGAGTTTGCCTGAATGTGGTTATTAAACCTTCTTTCGCGGCTTTGTGGACTTAAACTGAGCACTCGCCTGTTCTTAATTGAATGTGTGCAGGGCTGGCGACACCGAGGCGATTGTCATTAGAGTTTGTGTTTTTGTCTCAGTCAGACGGCTTCGAAGTGCAGTTTTGATTTTATTTTGGAGACTGAAGCCGCGCTCAGCAGCGACACTTGACACAGGAATAACAAGCGCTACTGCGGCCAGAGTTTTGTAGTCTGGGAACATCTCCGCGTATATGTTGATGAGAAGCTTACAGGAGTCCTTAAATGGCGGGTTACCTGAACCTGCAAGCACACGTTTCACGGAGCGAAAGTCCCGTACCATCCTTTCCTTTTCAACGAGTGAGACCGCTGCGTTTGGGTGCGCGCCATAAAAGTCAGAAAGGCGCTCGACAGCATCCAAGCCGTACTCCTGCAGCGCGCTGTTTGTGTATAAACGGCGCTGGCGCCATCTAGTGGAGAGGACGGTCAACTACGACTCGCAATGTAAAATTATAACTTAATTTTCAATCCTTCAAAATGACGGACGGCCTTCCAAATTTTACGTCAGAAAAAAAAAAAATCCGTCAATGACGGAGAATTTTCAGTTAATGTAACCTCTGGTCTGGTCTCTCTCTGTCTGGTCTCTCTCTCCCTGGTCTCTCTCTCCCTGGTCTCTCTCTCCCTGGTCTCTCTCCGTCTGGTCTCTCTCCGTCTGGTCTCTCTCCGTCTGGTCTCTCTCTCTCTCTCTGGTCTCTCTCTGGTCTCTCTCTCTGGTCTCTCTCTCTGGTCTCTCTCTCTGGTCTCTCTCTCTGGGTCTCTCTCTCTGGTCTCTCTCTCTGGTCTCTCTCTCTGGTCTCTCTCTCTGGTCTCTCTCTCTCTGGTCTCTCTCTGGTCTCTCTCCCTGGTCTCTCTCTCCCTGGTCTCTCTCTCCCTGGTCTCTCTCTCCCTGGTCTCTCTCCGTCTGGTCTCTCTCCGTCTGGTCTCTCTCCGTCTGGTCTCTCTCTCTCTCTCTGGTCTCTCTCTGGTCTCTCTCTCTGGTCTCTCTCTCTGGTCTCTCTCTCTCTCTGGTCTCTCTCTCTGGTCTCTCTCTCTCTCTGGTCTCTCTCTCTCTCTGGTCTCTCTCTCTCTGGTCTCTCTCTCTCTGGTCTCTCTCTCTGGTCTCTCTCTCTCTGGTCTCTCTCTGGTCTCTCTCTCTCTCTCTCTGGTCTCTCTCTCTCTCTGGTCTCTCTCTCTCTGGTCTCTCTCTCTCTCTGGTCTCTCTCTCTCTGGTCTCTCTCTCTCTCTGGTCTCTCTCTCTCTGGTCTCTCTCTCTGGTCCCTCTCTCTCTCTGGTCTCTCTCTCTCTCTCTGGTCTCTCTCTCTCTGGTCTCTCTCTCTCTCTGGTCTCTCTCTCTCTCTGGTCTCTCTCTGGTCTCTCTCTCTCTCTCTCTCTGGTCTCTCTCTGGTCTCTCTCTCTCTCTGGTCTCTCTCTCTCTGGTCTCTCTCTCTCTCTGGTCTCTCTCTCTCTCTGGTCTCTCTCTCTCTCTCTCTCTCTGGTCTCTCTCTGGTCTCTCTCTCTCTCTGGTCTCTCTCTGGTCTCTCTCTCTCTCTGGTATCTCTCTCTCTCTGGTCTCTCTCTGGTCTCTCTCTCTCTCTCTCTCTGGTCTCTCTCTCTCTCTGGTCTCTCTCTCTCTGGTCTCTCTCTCTCTCTGGTCTCTCTGGTCTCTCTCTCTCTCTGGTCTCTCTCTCTCTGGTCTCTCTCTGGTCTCTCTCTCTCTCTGGTCTCTCTCTGGTCTCTCTCTCTCTCTGGTATCTCTCTCTCTCTGGTCTCTCTCTGGTCTCTCTCTCTCTCTCTCTCTCTGGTCTCTCTCTCTCTCTGTCTCTCTCTCTCTCTGGTCTCTCTCTCTCTGGTCTCTCTCTGGTCTCTCTCTCTCTCTGGTCTCTCTCTGGTCTCTCTCTCTCTCTGGTCTCTCTCTCTCTCTCTGGTCTCTCTCTCTGGTCTCTCTGGTCTCTCTCTCTCTCTGGTATCTCTCTCTCTCTGGTCTCTCTCTGGTCTCTCTCTCTCTCTGGTCTCTCTCTCTAGTCTTCTTTCTTTGACTTTGATGTTGCCGAACCACACAGTAACAGAACCAACAAGCAAACTCTCAATGGCACAGCGATAAAAGTATCATTATCACGTTACTATTATTGTCTTGCTGTGTTTTGTTCTTCACGGAGCTCGTTGATCACCTTTGGTCCACACTTGGCTGCAGCTCTGTGCCTCCTCTGCCCTCTCCTCCACGGCGATCACAGCCTCCTCCTCCTCCTCCTCCCGGGCTCTGAGCTCCTCCACAACGGCTCGCAGCTGCAGTATCTCCCGGTCCCTGAGCTCGATGTCCCGCTGCTTCTCCAGGATCTCCCGGTCCCTGAGCTCGATGTGCCGCTGCTTGCCCATTAACTCTCGGTCTCTGTCTCGCAGCTGCAGCCTCAGCTCCACCACTCGGTCCTCCACGACAGCGGTGACCTGGGCCACCACCGCCTTCAGCAGAGCCTCCATGACGGCCGTGAGCTGCGAGCTGAGCGTACCCGGGAAAGACATGCTGCTCTGGGGGAAGAGAACCACACAAACGCGGGGAGAGGCTGCTTTCTTTTCGCCTTTCCTCGTTGCGGTTTCACTTCCGGAAACAGCCCGTTACGATGAGGATCCACGCGGTACATTTTTCCCTCGACACTAGTTTCGCAGGCGGAGATTTTTATTAATCACTCCTTATTTAAAATTAAACTATGAACTTTAGACTATAGTGTGATTTATTTTCATAAACAGGTACTTTGGTGAAGTTTAGAGCAGTGAGTGAGGTATTCTAATTGTATTCAGATGTTATTGTAAACGGGGGAAAGCGGCAGCGTCACGGCTCGGACTGCACCGGGCGCTGTTGCACGATCACGGTGGTCTTTTTACGACTTCCATTTTCCAATCCACTTTATTTATATAGCACATTTTATCAAACATGTTTCCAAAGTGCTGCACAGAGATACAAATTACACATTTATATGTTTAAAACAAATATAAGTAAAACAATAAAATACCATTTATTCGATACATAAAATAATATAAAATACAATAACCAAAACGGATAGAAAGAGAACCGCACCACTCACGGTCTTAAAAGCCAGAGAGTAAAAATGCGTCAAGACCTAAAACATTCCAACAAGGGAGCTGTCTTGAGGTGGGGGGGGCGGCACTTTGCACAACACTTATGTAGTAGTGTGGACAGTTTATCCGCCCACCAGCTGGGGGCGCCAGACGTCACACTATAAAACCCTGCAAATTGTTGACATGTCCTACCTGAAGTGGTATGTCTGTCGTACTGGCTCTACTCGCCATTTGGCTGTATGTGATTTTAAAATGTAATAACTTTGTTTTAGGAACGGCCTGTTCTTGTCTGCCATGGCTCGAAATAAAGTATTCATTCAAAGAGCACAGCCCAACCACCGTCCACCGTTGTTATTTGACGCTGTCTTTCCTGTTGTCTAGTCCAAGAATGCACGTTGTTGTTTCCTGTATTGTAACTGATTGATTTGATAACAAGTGCAAACTAAGGTAAACTTGATGAATAAAATGTGCTTAAATGGAACCTTTTGTCCTCACTCAATCCCTTTATCTGTGTCCTTATGGTTTGTGTAATTATTTGTTTTAATTTAAATGTGTACCCTCGGTTTGTCACTTATATCATACTTATACTCCTTACTCATATCAAGCGGATGCTATTGGTTGTAACGTGACAAAACAGAATTTCAAGCAGTGTAAAGACACTGCCCGTGTTCTGCAATGTCACTGTCATAATTGTAGTTTTGTGTCTCACTGATCTTGGAAATGTAGGTTTACTGATTTATCTTGTTATCCAGACCTACTGTATTTAGGTCTAGAAGCACGGCGGCACGGTGGCTGAGTGGTTAGCACTCTCATTTCTCAGAAAAAAGGTCCTGGGTCAGAACAGGGGCTCTCTGAGTGGAGTTTACATGTTCTCCCCATGTTTGCGTAGGTTTCCTCCGGGTGCTCCGGTTTCCCCTACCTCTAAAAATATGTACAATAGTTCAGGGTGAATGTGATGAGTGTGACTGAGGAACGACAGATGGAAATTAGCCCAATGCTACAATCCGCAGTGATGTGTTCATGAACATGTACTGTCCCAAACAAATAAACAAACATTTTGTACTTTTTAAAGTCCATGCATCTAACTATCTAAAATGTGGAAGTTTTCTTATACATATAGATTCTTCTATAATAATAATAAGTCTTTTAGCTGCACATTATTCCTACATGTTTTACTACACATTTCTGGTCTCTACAACATTATAACACTCTGCAGAAGTGTGCGTGTCCGAGCTGTCTGCAGCCACTGCTTCAAAAGAACATTTAAGTTTAAAACAAATGAAGAGATTACGACAAGAAACACCTCAGGCGCCGCAATGGTCTCCTGATGTCCACGCAAATCAGCTGCTCTGGTCCTCTCACACGCCACAAAATAAGAGGATCTCTTTCATTTCCGTTTAGATTTTTTGAGTTGACCACACATTAAACAATGAATCACATTTTATTTATAAAGCGCTTTTCATACAAGAAACACAACACAGAGTTTTACATTTTGGTTAATCACAATCCCACACGGCCATGACCGGACCACCCAACAGACCCACCCAAACTACAACTAAGACACACACACAAGCACACACACACACACACAGACCCACCCCAAACTACAACTAAGACACACACACACAGACCCACCCAAACTACAACTAAGACACACACACAAGCACACACACACACACACAGACCCACCCAAACTACAACTAAGACACACACACACAAGCACACACACACACACACACAGACCCACCCCAAACTACAACTAAGACACACACACACAGACCCACCAAACTACAACTAAGAACACACACACAAGCACACACACACACACACACAGACCCACCCAAACTACAACTAAGACACACACACAAGCACACACACACACACACAGACCCACCCCAAACTACAACTAAGACACACACACACAGACCCACCCAAACTACAACTAAGACACACACACAAGCACACACACACACACACACAGACCCACCCAAACTACAACTAAGACACACACACAAGCACACACACACACACACAGACCCACCCCAAACTACAACTAAGACACACACACACACAGACCCACCCAAACTACAACTAAGACACACACACAAGCACACACACAGACCCACCCCAAACTACAACTAAGACACACACACACGCACACGACACGCACGCATACGCACGCACACACACACACACACACATACACACACACACACACACACACACACACACACACACACACATAAAATGAATATGTAAAACCAAGAAAATAAATAAATCGAGGTGTCGGAGTAACCGGTTAAAGAAGCGCCATCCAAGGAGCCGTCTGCACCAGGAGCAGAGAGCCACCTGCAGCCACAGGCAACGACACAGGCCCAAGAGGAGAGAGGAGGCCCCAGACCCCCACAGGCCCCAGAGGAGAGAGGAGGCCCCAGACCCCCACAGGCCCCAGAGGAGAGAGGAGGCCCCAGACCCCCACAGGCCCAAGAGGAGAGAGGAGGCCCCAGACCCCCACAGGCCCCAGAGGAGAGAGGAGGCTCCAGACCCCCACAGGCCCCAGAGGAGAGAGGAGGCTCCAGACCCCCACAGGCCCAAGAGGAGAGAGGAGGCTCCAGACCCCACAGGCCCAAGAGGAGAGAGGAGGCTCCAGACCCCCACAGGCCCAAGAGGAGAGAGGAGGCTCCAGACCCCCACAGGCCCCAGAGGAGAGAGGAGGCTCCAGACCCCCACAGGCCCCAGAGGAGAGAGGAGGCCCCAGACCTCCATCAGGTCCTATTTCCACATGTTGAATGTTTTCAGCTTCTTAATTTCAGACTGACTTCCTGTTATACCACTCTTCCACAGAGACACATTTGTGTGGGACTAATTTAGGATTTCTCCAACGAGGGACGAAATTGTTATCTTATATAGTCTAATATTTCCCCAGGTGAGCAGTGGATGTTGGTAGCTCCTCTAGAGTAACCATTGGCCTCATGGCTGCATCTGTGCCCAGAGTGTTCCTTGGTCCAACTAGAAGGATGTGGTGATCCAGGACACTTTAACATTCTACAACATGTATGACATTTATCAACATTCACGGACACTGCACTGGTCTCTCCGCATGGATACAGTATGTGTATATTTTATGTTTTAACTGTTGATTCTCTGATCTGTGTTGGTGATTTCAATGGTTTTGTTAAGTCTCAGAGAGGACTTCTGTCGTGATTTATGGCTATACAAGAATAAGTTGTTGTTGTTGTCCTTGTTCGAGCTGTGCGGGCAGACAGCCGGATCTTGGTAGATTTGCAGTGGTGCAATTGCTGTTTTGACCAGTAGGGTGGACTAGACTAATCATTTGTTTAAAAAAACAAACAAAAAACAAACAACCAACACCAATCGATAATCGTCTGCTGCTGTCAGACTGTACAACGAACAATGAGGACTAACAAATACTAAAGACCTGACCTCACATGTCACTGAACGTCAGAATGTCACTTTACTGAGTCACTGCTGACATGTACAGATATATACATACTACTATATATTACTGCACTAACATATACAGGCATCACAAAGGATTAACGCACTTGTTCTGTTGGTGGGAGGGGAGGAGAAGTGAGAGAGAAGCTTAAAAAGGCAAATCAGTCGTTTCTCTGACAGAGCTGATGAGCTGAACAGGTGAGGCTGACGTCTGTATCTCCTTCTGCTGCGATAGAAACGACAACACAAGCTACCTTCAATGTCATGCTTTGAGGTCGGGGCTCGCTCATACAAAGGGGTCTTCACTTTGGCCACAAACGAGGACTTTTACGTTTTTTGAAAGCTGTAATGATATGGCTAAAAACCTGCTCTGTGCGGCTTTAAAGAGGAAATAGTATGAGAGGATTGAGAATATAAATAAAAACAAGACAAATTCTTTCTGCTCACAGTGAAATCCAGAATGAGACACGTTTTGCTGCTGCTTTGTCTCGGTAAGAAGTTTACACATTGTTTGTGCTAAGTTTGTGTTGAAGTTGTATTTGTTTAGGTGATGTTTGCATGTTCTCTCTCACTCTTCCATAACAGAAGAGAATACATGGCTCACAGTTGTGTAAAACTATAGTGTAAGTCTAAAGTCTTACTGTTTAATGTCTGCTTCTTCTCTAGGCTGTGGCCCAGTTCTAAGCTCCCGCTTTCCTCTTCGTCGATACTTCTACGTGGACATTGAAAAAACCTGGGATGAATCTCGAGCCTATTGCCGGCAGAAGCACTCAGACCTGGCCATATTCTCCAGTGTGGAGGAGGCGCAGCTGGCCCTCAAACCGGCCGGCTTCAGCAGCTCCTCTGCTTGGATCGAGATTCATGATGATCCCCAGAACTGGAAAGGGAACATGACCGACAAGGCCAACTCCTGGAAGTGGTCTGCCACAGGCCGGGGCAGTCAGAGCGGCTACCAGAACTTCAAACTCCCAGAGGAACCCAACTTTTACGCTGGTCTGGAGACGTGCATCATCATGAACCCGACAAATGCGTATTGGCGAGACAACGCTTGCTACGGCCTCAGACATTTCGTCTGCTTCACGGGTACGGCTTTCAAAACATTTATAACAAGATATTTACATAAGTCCTGCTATGATTGTTTCAGGAGTGCAATAATGAGGGACACGAGACCAGAGGACTGGGTGGTCCTCACAGAGACCAGAGGACTGGGTGGTCCTCACAGAGACCAGAGGACTGGGTGGTCTTCACAGAGACCAGAGGACTGGGTGGTCTTCACAGAGACCAGAGGACTGGGTGGTCCTCACAGAGACCAGAGGACTGGGTGGTCTTCACAGAGACCAGAGGACTGGGTGGTCCTCACAGAGACCAGAGGACTGGGTGGTCCTCACAGAGACCAGAGGACTGGGTGGTCTTCACAGAGACCAGAGGACTGGGTGGTCCTCACAGAGACCAGAGGACTGGGTGGTCTTCACAGAGACCAGAGGACTGGGTGGTCCTCACAGAGACCAGAGGACTGGGTGGTCCTCACAGAGACCAGAGGACTGGGTGGTCCAATAATAATAATGCATCAGTTAAAAAGTGCTTTTTCAGACGCTCAAAGTCTCTTCACATCATCATTCTCTCTCTCCGAACACGGTGGTGATAAACTACTGTAGCCACAGCTGCCCTGGGGCACACTGACAGAAGCGAGGCCCCTCCCACCACCACCAACCATTCACACACACACCAGACTCATTCTAGGCAATGGGGGTAAAGTGTCTTGCCTAAGGACACAACCACAGTTTGGCACTTTACAGCCGCCCCACTGTGGCGGCTGTTCCCAGAGGTTAAGTGTCTTGCCCAAGGACACAACGACAGCAGACAGTGGGAGTCAGTGGTGAAGGTCGGGCTCGAACCCACGACCCTCTGGCTCAAAGGTGAGCTACTGTCGCCCTTAGAGAGACAGTTGTTGTTGATGTGTTCTGAGGACTTTGTCTGAGTCTGTGATGGACATGGGTTTGTTGTCGATGGACAGTTAGTTACAAAGGGGGTGAATATTTCAAATGTAAACGTGGTCGATGTTGCTCTTTCGGATCATTTCTGTGGTTTTTTTGACATGTGTTTCACTAACAAACCACCAGTGGACTCTGCAACTGTTCGAAGAAGGCGCATAAATGAAAATACGAGTGAACTATTTATGGAAATGATAAACTTTGAGAATGCATCGTATTCTACTGTAGATGAACTGTTTAACTCTGTCACCTCTAGTGTTTTGAATGTTCTGGATACCGTTGCTCCTGTGAAGGTTAAAATAGTGAAAAATAAGCAGAAGGCGCCTTGGGCTAAAGCAGACTCGGTCAGGGCACAAAAGAGAAAGTGCCGGAGGGCCGAGCGGAAGGTATTTTTCTGAAATGATTGAAGGCTGCAGCAACAATCTGCGTGTTCTGTTTTCAACAGTTAATAGATTAACAAACCCCCCTGTTCAAATGCCATTAGAGCTAACTTCCAAACGCACATTGCACATTTTTTGCACATTTTTTGCACATTTTTTCAATGACAAGGTTCAAGGGATCAAAAACGCCATTGTCTCCAATCCACAGATAACAATCCAACAGCCAGAAAGGCTCTCTGAGCTAACTTACTTTGCACCTGTAAATGATCAAACTGTCCAAGAGATAATCTCCAGTTTGAGCTCCTCCACATGCAGCTTGGATGTACTACCCACTAGATTTCTGAAGTCTGTTCTGAGCAGTCTGTTACCTTCACTCACACAGATAGTAAACATGTCCCTTCATTCTGGAATATTCCCAAAGGCCCTGAAAACGGCAGTCATCAGGCCCCTGCTAAAAAAGAGCAGTCTGGATGCTACGGTACTTAACAACTATCGTCCCATCTCAAATCTGCCATTTATGGGGAAAGTTCTTGAGAAAGTTGTCTACCTACAGCTTACTAGATTTCTTATAATCAACAACTCATTTGATATGTTTCAGTCCGGCTTTAGACCCCACCACAGCACTGAGACTGCTCTCGTCAAGGTTACAAATGATATCCGGCTGAACACTGACGCAGGCAAAGTCTCAATCTTAATCTTGTTAGATCTAAGTGCTGCCTTTGACACTGTCGACCATGACATCCTCTTACAGAGACTAGAGGACTGGGTTGGCGTCGCTGGCAGTTGGTTTAGGTCTTACCTTGAAGACAGGAAGTACTTTGTGGAGATTGGAGACTGTGTCTCAGATCATATGGCCCTGACCTGTGGAGTACCACAGGGGTCAATCCTGGGACCTCTTCTGTTCAATCTCTACATGCTGCCGTTAGGTCAGTTAATACGCAGAAACAAAGTTTCCTATCATAACTATGCAGACGACACTCAGATCTATGTCTCACTGACTGCAGGAGAACATGGACCAGTGGACTCACTCCTTCACTGTATCCAACAGATCAGTGAGTGGATGCAAAACAACTTCCTTCAGCTAAACGCAGACACAACTGAAATGATTGTCTTTGGTCCCCAGAAACAAAGAGAGAGCGTCATCTGTCACCTACAGTCTCTCTCCCTAAAACCTTCAAACAAGGTCAGAAATCTAGGGGTAATACTGGACTCAGACTTAAATTTTAATAGCCACATCAAATCAGTAACATCAGCAGCTTTTTACCATCTAAAAAACATTTCCAGGATCAAAAACATAGTGTCTAAAGCAGACTTGGAGATTCTTATCCATGCATTTGTCTCCAGTAGGTTAGACTACTGCAATGGCCTGCTCACAGGTCTGTCCAAACAGGCTGTAAAACAGCTGCAGTACATTCAAAATGCAGCAGCTCCAGTCCTGACTAGAACCAGGAAGTACGACCATATTAGTCCTGACTAGAACCAGGAAGTACGACCATATTAGTCCTGACTAGAACCAGGAAGTACGACCATATTAGTCCTGACTAGAACCAGGAAGTACGACCATATTAGTCCTGACTAGAACCAGGAAGTACGACCACATTAGTCCTGACTAGAACCAGGAAGTACGACCACATTAGTCCAGTTCTCAGGTCCCTGCACTGGCTTCCTGTGGCTCAGAGAATAGACTTTAAAACAGCTCTGCTTGTTACAAGTCTCTCCATGGCCTCGGACCAAAATATATTAGTGACATGTTAGTCCCATATGAACCAGCCCGGACTCTGAGGAGCACAGGGACTGGACTCCTGCTGGGACTCTGAGGAGCACAGGGACTGGCCTCCTGCTGGGACTCTGAGGAGCACAGGGACTGGCCTCCTGCTGGGACTCTGAGGAGCACAGGGACTGGCCTCCTGCTGGGACTCTGAGGAGCACAGGGACTGGCCTCCTGCTGGGACTCTGAGGAGCACAGGGACTGGCCTCCTGCTGGGCTCTGAGGAGCACAGGGACTGGCCTCCTTCTTGGACTCTGAGGAGCACAGGGACTGGCCTCCTGCTGGTGCAGAACAGTCACAAACTCAAAAATCCCAGTACAGGGAATACTTAAAAAAAGCTTCATTGGTGTTTGTGGTTTCAGAGACCGACACAGGCCCCTCCTACACCTACGTCAACATGAGCAAATCGTGGTCTGCGGCTGTGGACTACTGCCGCCAGCACTACACAGACCTGGCCATGATCGAAGACGAAGCCCAAAACCAGGCAGTCTTCAACTCCAATAACGGTCAGCTGGTGTGGATCGGTCTGTCGCGAAATCCCTGGACCTGGGCAGACGGCAGCTCTTTGACGTTCAACAACTGGATCGTAGGAAGAACCCTGAACGTGGGCGGTTCTGAGCACTGTGTGGCAGAGAACGACGATCACCAGTGGATGACTGCGCAGTGTCAGGACCTGAAGCCTTTTCTCTGTCATGAAGGTGAGCTGCTGTTAAGATGTGTGCCTCTATCACCACCGGGAAGGGGGGTGGAGGTCTCTCTCAGACCGGGGTTAAAATGCAAAGAAACACACAATACTGACCTTTTTAAATGCCTTACTGCGTTACAGCAAAAAGCACCACATTATTGTCATTACATTTGTTTTTGTAACGCGTCACAAGAGCGCTGTCCTAAAGTGTATAAAGTATGTAAAATGTGTAACATTTATAAAGTCTGTAAAGTGTAAAGTGTATAAAGTCTGTAAAATGTGTAAAGTGGCGTCTGTGCTTCTCTCAGTCCAGACCCTGAAGACCACGGTGAAGCTGAACATACAAACCAGTGCAGACGCCGCCGATGACAAAATATCGTCTGAGATTCTGCAAAAGGTACGACTCCTGCTCCGTCTGAATCTGAAGGATTTAAGTTTGGGAATAACTGGAATATTCTGTTTGTGTTTAGCTGGAGGCGGAGCTGAGGAGACGTGGATTTACTGCCTTCAAACTCACATGGACCAAGAAACCTGTGAAGACCTGAAGAGACGTCACACACTTTATACTTTACTTCATCTTTTCACTCATCAACAAACTGACAGTTCCTTTGACTGTCGTCGTAGCAACTCAGAAAAACTACTGTTTGGCTCAAGTTACTACAGAAACAACTTATACACAAATATTTGTATAATTTCTCCGTCCCACTAAGGGACCAATAAAGAATCTCTTCATCTCAATGATTTCTGACCAGAGAGAGACCAGACAGAGACCAGACAGAAACCAGAGAGAGACCAGAGAGAGACCAGAGAGAGACCAGAGAGAGACCAGAGAGAGACCAGAGAGAGACCAGAGAGAGACCAGAGAGAGAGACTAGAGAGAGACCAGAGATATACCAGAGAGAGATCAGAGAGAGAGAGGGAGTATTTTTGAGTTTTGCTTTACTTAATATTCATGTATCTGCTGTGTGCTCCTCATTCTCCTGCTCTGTCCCTGACAATGCAACACTGACATTTCCCTGTGAGACCAATAAAGGATCTGTTCATATCTGTCATTTCTGAAGTTGTTTTGAGGTAGACCAGAGAGAGAGACCAGAGAGAGAAACCAGAGGGATAGGGTTAGGCCAGAGAGAGAGAGAGACCAGAGAGAGAAACCAGAGGGATAGGGTTAGGCCAGAGAGAGAGAGAGAGACCAGAGAGAGAAACCAGAGGGATAGGGTTAGGCCAGAGAGAGAGAGAGACCAGAGAGAGAAACCAGAGGGATAGGGTTAGGCCAGAGAGAGAGAGAGACCAGAGAGAGAAACCAGAGGGATAGGGTTAGGCCAGAGAGAGAGAGAGAGAGAGAGAGACCTCCTGAAGTCAGTGAGCATCTCTTTGATGTTGGAGACAGTTATGGTTAGATAAGAGGATTGGCACCAGTCGTAAAAGTCGGTGATGTCAGGACCGGGCTCTGAGTCTGAGCCGAGACACGGTTATTGTGTCATCTGCAAATGTTAAAATATGGGATTTGGGTGTTGGCTCTAACAGTCATTAGTGTACACCGCAAACAGGAGCAGCGAAAGAACACATCCCTGTGGCGAGCTCGTAGACGAGAGGAGGACTTCCGACAGGGTACCATTGGCCTTTTCTCAATGGTGTAGTCACTGAGTCTTTGTGCCTGGGTACTTGGCTGAATGCAATTAAAAGCTGATGTAAAGTCAATAAACAATAGGCGGAAAAGTCCTTTAAAGTTTTGTTGTCTGAATGCAGGTTCGACTTGAAAAATCAATGAACACAAGGATGCAAGTTAAACTCGGCTTCAACTTTTTATTGTTATTAGTTGCAGTAGCTCCCCATGAACCCGTGAGTATCCGATGGAGAGTATAGAGCTGGTCCAGTGTTCCGCGCCCGGGACCAAAACCACACTGCTCCTCCTGAATCCGAGATTCAACCATCGGCCGTAGTCTCCTCTCCAGTACCTTGGAGTAGACCTTACCAGGGAGGTTGAGGAGTGTGATCCCACGATAATTGGAACACACCCTCCGGTCCCCCTTCTTGTAGAGAGGGACCACCACCCCGGTCTGCCACTCCATTGGCACCGCCCCCGATTGCCACGCGATGTTGCAGAGACGTGTCAGCCAAGACAGTCCTACAACATCCAGAGACTTTAGAGTCAGGACAGATCTCATCCACCAAAGAGACTGCCAACCACCTTTGTGACCTCAGCCAGGGAGATGGATGTATCCGCCCCAACCTCCTCTGCCTCTGCCTCTGTAACGGAGGACGTGACGGGGGGATTGAGGAGAACCTCGAAGTATTCCTTCCACCGCCCGACAATATCCCCAGTTGAGGTCAGCAGCTCTCCCCCGCACCGTACATGGTGTTGGCAAAGAACTGCTTCCCCACCTGAGGCACCGGATGGTTTGCCAGAATCTCTTTGAGGCCGACCGATAGTCGTGCTCCATGGACTCCGAACTCCTCCCAGTCCCAGGTTTTTGCCTCTGCGATAGCCCGGGCCGCGGCACGCTTGGCCTGCCGGTACTGGACAGCTTCCTCAGGAGTCCCCCGAACCATTATGGCTCGATAGGACTCCTTCTTCAGCCTGACTGCCGGTGTCCACCACCGGGTTCGGGGGTTGCCGCCGGGACCAGCACCGGAGACCTTGCGACCACAGCTACGAGCCGCCGCATCGGCGATTGAGGAAGAGAACATGGTCCACTCGGACTCGATGTCCCCCTCCTCCGCCGGGACCTGGGAGAAGCTCTCCCGGAGGTGAGAGTTGAAAGTCCGTCTGACAGGGGGCCGAGCGAGACGTTCCCAGCAGACCCTCACTACACGCTTGGGTCTGCCAGGTCTGACCGACTTCTTCCCCTGCCAGCGGATCCAACTCAAGACCAGGTGGTGATCGGTTGACAGCTCCCCCCCTCTCTTCACCCGAGTGTCCAAGACACGCGGTCGAAGGTCAGATGATACGACAACAAAGTCGATCATCGACCTCCGGCCTAGGGTGTCCTGGTGCCACGTGCACTGGTGGACACCCTTGTGCTCGAACATGGTGTTCGTGATGGACAAACTGTGACTGGCACAGAAGTCCAACAACTGAACACCGCTCGGGTTCAGATCAGGGGGGCCGTTCTTCGGCTGAGATGGGGAGCAATGCGAATGGCCACCCCAGCTCGCCGGCTCTCCCCGCGGGAAACACCAGAAAAGTGGAGCGTGCAACCCCTCTCAAGGAGTTGGGTTCCAGAGCCCAAGCTGTGTGTGGAGGTGAGGCCGACTATCTCTAGTCGCTCAACCTCCCCCAAGAGCTCTGGCTGAGCCCTGAGAGGGACTGGGTCGCCGAGGTCTCCGCCTTCGACCGCTGCCCAGTCCGCACACACAATTAAATCCACAAAACGCGCGTCATCCATTATACTGGACCCGCACTCTTCTCTCCAGAAGCGACTTAGTTTTGGGTTGCTACACTTTCCTTAACACATATGTTTTTGCAGTGTTGGAACAGTCTGACGTGAGTAAAGGAGAGAGAAGCTTAAACAGGCAAAGACCAAATATATCAGGTCTATAAATAAAGGTCCACATGTGTTTATGAGACAGAAGAATCGGTCCATACTTTTGGCAAATAAATTCAAGGACACTCTGAATCCTGAGAATGTTATTCAGCACAGCTGCACAAACACTTTCACAATAAAAGAAGTTTCACATCATAAAATCAGGAAAATTATTGTAAACATAAAAAACACCACATCTAAGGACATTCACGAGTATATAACCCGGTTACTTATTTTGTGAACCTGTCTATCCAAACAAATAAAGTAAGTTGTGGCAGAACAACTGGTGGAGCATCTAGATACAAATCAACTGTTGAATCCGCAGCAGTTTGGCTTCAGACAAAAATACAGCACAGAAACTGCCAACTGTTACCAGTTAGAAGAAATAAAAGGTTCATTGGATAAAGACAATGTTGTGGGTGCTGTGTTCTTAGACCTGAAGAAGGCCTTCGACGCAGGGAACCCCTGCATCTTGTTACGTAAACTACAACAATTTCAAATGTCATCGGCAGCTCTGCTGTAGTTTAAGTCCTATCTGGAAGGTAGAGTTCAGTGTGTGAAGGTTGGGACCAGCCATCCATCCATCCATTTTCTTCCGCTTTATCCGTTGCCGGGTCGCGGGGGCAGCAGTCTAAGCAGAGACGCCCAGACTTCCCTATCCACACACACCTCCTCCAGCTCGTCCGGGGGGACCCCTAGGTGTTCCCAGGCCAGCTGAGAGACATAGTCTCTCCAGCGTGTCCTGGGTCTTCCCCGGGGCCTCCTCCCGGTGGGACGTGCCCGGAACACCTCCCCAGGAAGGCGTCCAGGAGGCATCCTGAACAGATGCCCGAGTCACCTCAACAGGTTCCTCTCGACGTGGAGAAGCAGCGGCTCTACTCCGAGCTCCTCCCGTGTGACTGAGCTCCTCACCCTATCTCTAAGGGAGCGCCCAGCCACTCTGCGGAGGAAGCTCATTTCGACCGCTTGTATCCGCGATCTCGTTCTTTCGGTCATTACCCACAGCTCATGACCATAGGTGAGGGAGGGAACGAAGATTGACCGGTAAATCGAGAGCTTTGCCTTTCGGCTCAGCTCCCTCTTTACCACAACGGTCCGATACAGAGACCGCATCACTGCGCACGCTGCACCGATCCGCCTGTCAATCTCACGCTCCATCCTCCCCTCACTCGTGAACAAGACCCCGAGATACTTGAACTCCTCCACTTGAGGAAGGACCTCTCCACCCACCTGAAGAGGGCAAGGCACCTTTTTCCGGTCGAGCACCATGGCCTCGGATTTGGAGGTGCTGATTCTCATCCCAGCCGCTTCACACTCGGCTGCAAACCGCTCCAGTGCATGTTGCAGGTCCTGGTTCGTTGGAGCCAGCAGGACGACATCATCCGCAAAAAGTAGAGATGAGATCCTGTGGTTCCCGAACCGGACCCCCTCCGGCCCCTGGCTGCGCCTAGAGATTCTGTCCATAAATACAGTGAACAGAACCGGTGACAAAGGGCAGCCTTGGCGGAGGCCAACATGCACCGGGAACAGGTCTGACTTTGCCGGCAATGCGAACACAGCTCTGGCTCCGGTCATACAGGGACCGAACAGCCCTCAGCAGAGGACCCCGGACCCCGTACTCCCGGAGGACCCCCCAAAGGAAACCCCGGGGAACACGGTCGAACGCCTTCTCCAAATCCACAAAGCACATGTGGACAGGTTGGGCGAACTCCCATGAACCCTCGAGTATCCGATGGAGAGTATAGAGCTGGTCCAGTGTTCCGCGACCGGGACGAAAACCACACTGCTCCTCCTGAATCCGAGATTCGACCATCGGACGTAGCCTCCTCTCCAGTACCTTGGAGTAGACCTTACCGGGGAGGCTGAGGAGTGTGATCCCACGATAATTGGAACACACCCTCCGGTCCCCCTTCTTGTAGAGAGGGACCACCACCCCGGTCTGCCACTCCATTGGCACCGCCCCCGATCGCCACGCGATGTTGCAGAGACGTGTCAGCCAAGACAGTCCTACAACATCCAGA